TGAGCTACAACCATATCACGTCCGTTCCTACACCACTGAATTTAGTGATGCCAAATCTAACTGAAATGTAAGCCTTCATGAAACATTTTCGAGACTTGATGCGGCTAAAGGTCAGGTGGTTTAATGTCAGAAAGCACAGCAGTCAATATTGTGCAAACACGTTAACCGCTGCACGTTATGACTCCGCAATATCTTGCTTGGAAGTGCCAGTGTGGCACAACTAAAGCGCAATTCACTGCACAACATTCTGTGACACGACACACGATTTGCGACAGTCGTAAGCTGTAGCAAGGCACCTGTCGCAGAAGTTGAAGAAAGTTCAACTTTTGCGACATGCGACACGCTACATACCCAAATGGAGTACTGATACAGTTTACTGTAAAACCTGAAAGTCTAACGAGTCACAAAGTCTGACGTTTTAACGACAAATTCTTTCTCATTATTTGAAAATACATTATCGCTAGATTTCTGTGTAAAGATGGGCATACAGAAGGCAGGCCAGGTAGCCTTTGTTAAACTTTCTGCACGTGATCATGCCAAAATAGAGAGGTTAGATTTCACGTAAAATTCTTACGTCCGTGAACTTTTACGTCAAAGAGTGAAAAAACTCAAGTAAAATTGGTGTATTACGTGAGTTGACTGTCCCGCACGTAAGTTCATGGCGTGGGTTTTTGGAAGTTTGGCTTGGTTATCCCGACCTAATTTGAGTGAGTTTCCGGAGTTTTATCGAGTTTGTTGGAAGATTTTATATTTGTGGGAACTAAACCCGAATCCTGCCAGGCAAAAGTTCACGTCACGTCGCACGTGTAACTTAACCTATAAAAATTACTCGTAACGTGAGATTTGCACCGCGTTTTGAAAAAAGGCAAAAAATGTGGAACTTAACCTATCTAATAACAAGAAAATGCCCGTCGCGATCTGTGGAAAGGTACCTGTCGCAGAAGTTGAAGAAAGTTCAACTTTTGCGGCATGCGACACGCGGCATACACAAATGGAGCACAGCTTCGACCCTGGGTGCTCGTGCAGTGCACTTGAACAGTACCACTTGTGCATGAGGATGTCGCAAACATCAAGAACATTGTGAACCATGTGTCGCTGTCGCAGCTCGTCGCATGTGTCGCAAGTTGCATGTCGCGTCGCAAGAAGTTGTATTGTGAATCGGCCTTAACTTGTAAACCTTTGGTCCTTTTTTCTTCAGAAGTTTAACCCATCATCCGTGAAACATTTGAATTGTGAACAGAAAGTAAAATGTGGAAAGGAAGTTGGGAAAATAGCAACCCGATTAAGTCTGAAGTGTCTGCAATTCTGTCTCCGTCAGCTTCAGCTATTGCTATCTGGCTAAACGATCGTGGCTTGATCCTGAATGCTTCCAAAAGCCAGGTGATCTCCATGTCTAGGAACCTGCCTGAGAAGCATAGTCCACTCTTGGTGAACTTTAACGGGACCCTGCTGCCACTTGTGAAGTCTTCCAGGTACCCTCGTGTCATATTTGAAAGTAACATGTCTTGGGATGACCACGTAACCCGCTGTGCAAACCGTGTATCACAAAACATCGGAGTCCTGTGGAGGATGCCGCGTTGCCTCAGCACACAGGGTCAGATCAATTACTTCCAGTCCATCATAATGCCCGATCTTCTGTACGGCCGGGATCAAAAATGCATTTTCGTCATCTCTAGCAGCCAGGCACTGTCATCGACTCCAGGTTCTGCAAAACCTTGGTTCCCGTATAGTGTTCGGATGCCCGCCATGAACATCCGCACATGATCTACTGGAGCGCCTCTCACTGTATCGGGTTACTGAAGTACTGGTATGCAAACAGAAGCTGGTATTCCTTGTATGTCGCTGCCGCTACGGCCAAGCAAGTCCTGAACTTCAGGTTCTCTTGCTGCCAGCTTGTGGCTGGTCCACGCGCCTGGACTCCAGCATGGGTCTCTGCCTACCACCCGACTGCAGCAACTCTGGAAAGAGGACACTCGCCTTCCAGGGTGCACTATGCTGGAAGAACCTGCGTAGCAGTATTCGCTCCATCTCCTTTCCACGTCAGCCCGGTTCTGCAGCTGTCCCATTTCTACTATGAACTGAGAACATTGCAAAGCAATAATTGTATGTGTGGCTGTCAGTGTACATGTGTTTGTGTATGTTTGTGTATGTTTGTGTGTGTGTGTGTGTGTGTGTGTGTGTGTGTGTGTGTGTGTGTGTGTGTGTGTGTGTGTGTGCGTGTGTGTGTGCGCCAAAGCGTGCACACCTGCGTGTGAGTGCAAGTGTATGGATGTGCATGAATGTGTGTGAGTGCGTGAGTGTGTGTGTGTGTACGCGCATGTGTGTGTGTGTGGGGGGGGGGGGGGGGGTATGTGTCTGGTTGGGTGTGTATGTATGGGCATGTGTGGATGTACATGTATGCGTGTGTGGGGGTGGGGTGTGTACAAGGCTTCGGTTTCTCTCTCTTCTCTTCTCTCTTCCTGTCAGTGTCTCCCGCTTCTGGGCCAACATCGCCCTTGCTTCATGCCTGCTTGTTCCTGTTGTTGTTGTTGTTGTTGTTGTTGTTGTTGTTGTTGTTGTTGTTGTTGTTGTTGTTGTTGTTGTTGTGATATATAAGCACATGTACGTTTCTACTGTGTTCTGCCGCTATTCCGGCTTTGGCTACGTGACCACGATTTGTATCCCCATTTCTCCTTTATCCGTTCCTTTCTCTTTTTGCTAAGAGCTTTCTTTTCGCCGTGACCAAGATTTGTATCCCCATTTTCTCCTTTATCCTTTCCTTTCTATTTTTGCTAAGAGCTTTCTTCTCGCCGTGACCAAGATTTGTCTCCCCTTTTTCTCCTTTATCCTTTCCTTTCTCTTTTTGCTAAGAGCTTTCTTCTCGCCGTGACCAAGATTTGTCTCCCCTTTTTCTCCTTTATCCTTTCCTTTCTCTTTTTGCTAAGAGCTTTCTTCTCGCCGTGACCAAGATTTGTCTCCCCTTTTTCTCCTTTATCCTTTCCTTTCTCTTTTTGCTAAGAGCTTTCTTCTCGCCGTGACCAAGATTTGTCTCCCCTTTTTCTCCTTTATCCTTTCCTTTCTCTTTTTGCTAAGAGCTTTCTTCTCGCCGTGACCAAGATTTGTCTCCCCATTTTCTCCTTTATCCTTTCCTTTCTCTTTTTGCTAAGAGCTTTCTTCTCGCCGTGACCAAGATTTGTCTCCCCTTTTTCTCCTTTATCCTTTCCTTTCTCTTTTTGCTAAGAGCTTTCTTCTCGCCGTGACCAAGATTTGTCTCCCCTTTTTCTCCTTTATCCTTTCCTTTCTCTTTTTGCTAAGAGCTTTCTTCTCGCCGTGACCAAGATTTGTCTCCCCTTTTTCTCCTTTATCCTTTCCTTTCTCTTTTTGCTAAGAGCTTTCTTCTCGCCGTGACCAAGATTTGTCTCCCCTTTTTCTCCTTTATCCTTTCCTTTCTCTTTTTGCTAAGAGCTTTCTTCTCGCCGTGACCAAGATTTGTCTCCCCATTTTCTCCTTTATCCTTTCCTTTCTCTTTTTGCTAAGAGCTTTCTTCTCGCCGTGACCAAGATTTGTCTCCCCTTTTTCTCCTTTATCCTTTCCTTTCTCTTTTTGCTAAGAGCTTTCTTCTCGCCGTGACCAAGATTTGTCTCCCCTTTTTCTCCTTTATCCTTTCCTTTCTCTTTTTGCTAAGAGCTTTCTTCTCGCCGTGACCAAGATTTGTCTCCCCATTTTCTCCTTTATCCTTTCCTTTCTCTTTTTGCTAAGAGCTTTCTTCTCGCCGTGACCAAGATTTGTCTCCCCTTTTTCTCCTTTATCCTTTCCTTTCTCTTTTTGCTAAGAGCTTTCTTCTCGCCGTGACCAAGATTTGTCTCCCCTTTTTCTCCTTTATCCTTTCCTTTCTCTTTTTGCTAAGAGCTTTCTTCTCGCCGTTACCAAGATTTATCTTTTCTTTTTTTTCTCCTTTCTTCCTTCTTTTAACTCGGATGGTGATCCAAATAAATTATTGTGAAAAGAAGAAGGAAAAAATGCTACGTGTTATGAGTACCTGTCCACCAACGTAATCAGATCTTATACAGTCAGGGAGTGCGAGTGTCAGGTCGCCAAATGTCTCAGTACTCCTTGTCAGTTTTGTGCCATTTTGTCCCATCGCTGACTATAAGATCTGGTTACGTTGGTGGACAGTTAGTCATATTTCGTAACATTTTGTCCTTCTTCATTTCTTCTTTTCTTCATTTCTTTTTCTTTTCTTCCTTTGCTGAGAGCTTTCTGTTCCCATATTTTCTTTTCATCTGTTTTTCCTTGCGAGTTTTCCCATTCCTGGGTTACTTGAACCTCATTCGCCTTGTCATTGGACATGTTCAGTCTGTTCGTTTGCGAATTCAAATGAACAGAACCAAAACCCAAATGCTTGTTTGTACTGGGACTTGAGAAGTTCGAGAAAATGATGCATTATTCTTTCATATCCAGCTTATTTTTGTTCCTCACTTATCTGTCATGCCTTCCAGAAATCTGCTCGGCAATAGCCTCAGCCTTGATCGCATTTGCCCGCTGATTTTCGTCCAGAGTGTAATGGCCGAGACAGCTGTAGTGGCCCACCTGGATGCACAACGGATAAAGAGTAAGTAAAGCCTCAAGGAAAATTCATGATTTTAAAGAAAATATTTCATGATAATTATTATGCAATGAAGAGAACATAACCTCCTCCCCCCCCCCCCCCCCCAAGTGTGCAACTCCCACATTCTCTGCTGTCCCGACAGGATTTTAAGTTGACGTCGCTATTGATGATGCAATGCTCCTTGCACCAGTGATTTACAACATGTGTATGGGTGTCAACGCATCACGCGTTTTTCTTTGCAATAATGTGTTCAGGATCAGATGGGCGTTGGTCCACCACAGGTTCCGGATTCGCCTGATAATCCGTGTCCAATGCAGATTGCATCATCAAAATGACGTCAACTTGAAATTCTGTCCGCACAGCACCCATAATCGAGTTGCACACTCTTGGGGGTTATGTACTCTTGATACAC